CACGTAATTTGAATCGACCCTTGTTGTGTAATAGCCTAATAAAATTTTCCAAAGACTTTTGTAACACACTGTATGTAGAACTGCCTATAATGTCTGATCTGTATATGTTTTAGTAGGACATTACCACAGACAAGAATCTCCACCGCAATCTGTAGTTCTGCAATTCAAACATTTTGCAGGTAATTTTCCTGTTAAAAATTGGTTGAGTAAGGGAAAATAATAACTTGTCAAACAGTAAAAACCATTTTAATTAATGTTTTTCCTGTTTCGCTTCTCAATTACAAAATCAGGTTTGATGACATGCATGATTTATCTTTGATGTATAATTTGCGTGGTGTTGATTTTTTGATTTTGAAAATAGCAATCCGAAGTAGATCATCCACATATGTGAAAAGTTCGTCTGCTTCTACCACCTGAAGACCATTGAACGATTGAATCCAAGATTATTTTCAAGATTTCCATCATCCAACATTGACTTTCAAGTATTCCAGTACTGATGACAGGGAGAACATACTGATCCGGAAATTTAGTGGCTAGATAATAATATTTAAATGATAAGTATTAGGCTCATTAAAGAGGATGGTTAAAATAACGTAGCTCTTACCTTCAGAATCAGGTATGACTTTGCTCTCGCAGGAAGTTGGTGTAATGGTCGCATTTAATGCCTTTATATCTTCCGTTGAAAATACAAATACAGTAGGAGGGGATCCTTATATCACAGTTGGAACGAGAACTTGAGCTAGAGCAAAAACCAATACTGATCCTAAAGGTCAGAGATAGCTCTTTTAAGTCCCAAATCTTCTTGGTAATGTAGCAAGGTGTCTTGTTCGTTGTCGAGAGGCCGAAGAGTTCTCACTTTTCATTACCTCTCACAAATTAATATTTGTTTGGCCATTGAGGAACAGAAGAGCTCGAACTCTCAATTTCAGCTTTTTTTTTTCGCTTCCTTGAAGTTTTTGAAGATATCGTGGATCAGAATTGCTATACAAATTATCGTGTATATCACATGACAGAACACGTAAAAATAGATCAATTACAGTCAGACCTATGTATAATCACCTCATATATAATCACCTTTTACTATAATCACCGTTTTTTTTCGGTCCCAAATTTTTTATATTAATTTTCCCTATATATAATCACCACATATAATGATTTTATGTATAATCACTATCACCACTAACTATAAGTCCCATGATAAGAAATTTCCCTATGTATAATCACATATTCATGTGATCTATTAATAAAATTAATTCGTGATACATAAATATAAATAGTTGTGTATAACATGGCGATCAAAATCTTAACTTTCCCTATGCATATATTCCGCACAGGATTTAAAATTTGAATTTCAAACACTGACATGCACTAACATTTATCAATAAGTATAATTTTTGCTTGAAATTAAAAAGTTACCTTACTTGTAAGACTTGATATTGTTAAACCAAAACACCTTTCATTTTGCTTTTGAATTCATTTACCTAAAGCAAGTTCATCAAGATTAGAATATTTAAAAATCAAATCATAATGTTATTGGTAAGAATTACCTCTTTAAAGTAGGTATCAACATAACGTGAATGAAAAGACACTGTGCAATCTTCATTTTCTTTAAGAATATTACACTCGACAAGTTTATGAAGCATGTCAAGAGATATAATAGTTTGAGCTTGCTCAATATCAATATGATGTACTTCAATAAGTTTTATAAAAAATTCATGATTTTTAGAAAGTTTTAGTGTAATCAAATCTTTCTTAATTTGCATGAACAACCTATTCTTGAAAAGTAAGAATGTTAGATCAGGACAAACCATTTATGTTAAGAAATTAAAATTGTAATAAGGACATACTTTCAAGTAAAATATTAGGATCACCATTAACTTTATTTAGTAATTGGAATTGTTTCAATAAAGCAAATCGTCCACCTGTTAGATATTTCACTACAGTTTCAATAATTTTTTGGTTAATACCAGAATCTTTCAGATATCCTATGGCTTCTTCATCAGAGATATTACCAACTTCAAAGAGAATACTTGCTCGCGACCAGGAAGAACGAGCTGTAAATAATAAAAATAAGCTTTAATAAGAACTCAACAATGTATAGTATTAAGATTATAGCATCCCTACATTTCATAATTTGTGGAACTATGCCTTCACTCGCAACAAATATAATGTCAAGTGAACCAAGATCCGCACAGTCTTTTGCGAAATCTTGAAGTATTCTAAGAAACTCTAGGTCCTTCTTAGCAATGCGATCTACTTGATCAAGAATCAAAACCATTGGACGTTTGTTTTCTTTCATATAATGATTTGCTGTGCTGACAAGTTGCATGCCTAAAAGATTCCAATCAGAGTATTCTGAATAGCTGCCTTGTTCTACATGCAAGGTGGAATTCAGTAGCAATTAATAATATATAATTTTAATAACTAATAACAACTAATAACTAATATATAATTTTAATAGTAATTAATAGTAATTAATAATTAATATATAATTTAATAAAAATTAATTAATATGTAGTCCGTAATAATTTTTATTAAAATTAAATAAAAAATTTTAATGGAATAAGCAAAGTTTTAAATATTATAATTTATTAATTAATTTTAATAATATATACAGTATAGCGTAATAATACCCTTGCGTAACTGCTAATTTAGTGAAAAAATGCCGATTTGTATCTTGCGTAACTACTAATTACTACAAACATCTAAAGAATAGAAATAATAAAGATTATAATCTTACAATTAATTTAAATATTATAATTTATTA